GCCATGTCCTCACTCATAAATGGGAGCTAATAAAAACACAAATAAATAAAAAAGAAAGAAAGATACAACAATTACAATAATTTGTTGAACTTTCAAAAGGAGAGAACAGAACTGAAGTTATCAGAGGTGGGCAAGTGGGAAAGGAGGGGGGGTAAGGGAGAAATTGGTAAAGGGCCATGAAAATCAATTACATTGTATAATGTTGAATATATTAATTATCCTGATTTGAGCATCACATATTGTACACAGGTATTGATATTCAGTGCTGTACCCCACAGATATATACAATAAACCACGATTCAGTTAAAAAAAAAAAAAAGAAGAGATACCAGAGTGCTCTCTCTCTTTCTCACTCTCTGCCATGTGAGGACATAGCAAGAAGGTAGAGAAGGTGGCCATTTGCAAATTAGGAAAAGAGTCCTCACCAGAACCCGTGCTGGCATTCTGATCTTGGATTTCCAGGCTCCAGGACTGTGAGAAATAAATGCCTGTTGTTTAAGCCACCTAGTCTATGGTATTTTGTTATGGTAGCCCCACCAGACCAAGACAATACTCCACTGGGATCCCCAATATTTAAAACTGATGAGTACTATATGATACAAGTATCTCAGGGATTTCAGACTTGAGTGATTTCAAAGCCTACATGATTAGCCACAGGATTTATCTTTCTTTCCTCATCTACTAGAGGAATGAATTTTATAAACCAATATAATGAAATTAGAAATAATGATTATAGACCATTTCATAAAAGATTACCTTGACATTCGTTTTAACAATTCGAAGATTCTAATTTCAGAATTAGGATGAATTCTGTAAATGGAATACACAAATCTTTTTTAAAAAAAATCACCACACTATCCTTATTTTGCCCTGAAAACTTTGTCACAGATTAGCACTAGTCTCCTATTTTTTTTTTAAATCACAACTTCAGAGTAATGTGGAAGAAGGACAAACTCTTTATAAAAGTATTAATAAGTACATGTTACGGTAAAAATTATGCATCATATGTAAATATAATTATAATGTCTTGCATGCCCAAGATCATCCCAAGGGCTCAACACCCTGCTAATCTTATTTTGCTGGGAAGGAAAACTTAAGCATAGAAAAGTGTTCTGTTCAAGTTCATGTGTCAAATAATGCTAATGATGACTGCTGGATTTTGGCAAATGAAGTTATATAACAAGATGAAGTTACTTTCTAGAATATGATTAAAGGAACAAGGAATGCATGGTGTTCTTACAAAAAGCTAATTTAGAGTTAAAGAATCAGAGAGGAACAGAAAGCTAATTCAACCCATGTAAATTAGTATAAATCTCACTTTATGGCTGATTATCTAGCAAGACCTAAATAAAAGAATATAATATTAATACTTATATCAAAGGAAAACAAAACAAAAAAAAACTTGAAGAAGGCCCTGAAAAGGAAAACTTGAGAGATCTGAAGGATAGAGGCATTCCCTCATGAAAACTTTATTTTGGGGCTCTTTTACTCTTTTTATTTATTTATTTATTTTCCTTTTTGTCTCTTTTTTTCGTGTCTGGCAACGGATCGCAACCCTCAGTGTCGCGCCCATACCGGACCGGG